AGGATTGCAAGCTGGTAATCCTTTGCTCTATGTCTAAAATTCATATATGAGTGAGTACACACCATGTTTGTCTTTTTGTGACTGGGTTACCTCACTCAGGATGGTTTCTTCTAGTTCCATCCATTTGCCTTCGAATTTCTAGATTCTATTGCTTTTTTCTGCTGAGTAGTAGTACTCCATTGTATAAATGTACCACATTTTCTCTATCCATTCTTCAGTTGAGGGGCATCTAGGTTGCTTCCAGGTTCTGGCTATTACAAACAATGCTGCTATGAACATGGTTGAACACATGTCCTTGTTGTATGCATGTACATTATTTGGGTATTTGCCCAAGAGAGGAATTGCTGGATCTTGAGGTAGACTGATACCCATTTTTCTGAGCAACTGCCATACTGATTTCCAAAGTGGAGGACAGGTGTGAGGTGGTATCTCAGAGTTATTTTGAGTTGCATTTCTCTGATGGCCAAGGATTTTGAGCACTTTCTTAAGGGACTGTTCTTTTTCTCCACATCCTCTCCAGCATAGGTTGTCATTGGTGTTTTTGATTTTAGCCATTCTGACTGGTGTGAGGTGGTATCTCAGAGTTGCATTTCTCTGATAGCCAAGGATTTTGAGCACTTTCTTAAGTGTCTTTCAGCCATTTCAGATTCCTCTGTTGAGAATTCTCTATTTAGTTCTGCACCCCAAAGCAGGGTTATTTAAAATGTTAAAAATATATCACTGTTTGTGCTGGTGAGATGGCTCAGTGGACAAAAGCACTTGCTGCCAAGCTTGATGACCTGAGTTTCATCCCTGGGATGGTACAAAATAATGGAAGGAGAAAACCACTACCATAAGTAATCATGTGTGTGTGTGTGTGTGTGTGTGTGTGTGTGTGTGTGTGTGTGTGTGTGTGTGCACTAAATAAATTAGATAAAAAATTTATGGCTCAGAGGTTAAGAGCACTGACTGCTCTTCCCAGCAACCACATGGTGGCTCACAACCATCCGTTATGAGATCTGGTGCCCTCTTCTGGTGTGCAGATATACATGGAAGCAGAATGTTGTACACATAAAAAAATAAAATCTTTAAAAAAAAATTAATTCACTAAAAACTCACTTGATTGTATTTCATTTGCTATGGAAATAAAAGGCTTTCACTATGATTTAACACATACTTAGTGGTGAAACTTTCAAAATGAAAATATTTAGGAAACTTCCCAGCTGGGTATAGTGGTTGGAACACGCCTATAATTAATCCCATAATTTGGGAACTAGGGATAGAAGGATTCAGAATTAAAGTCTAGCTTTGGCTCCATGAGACCCTGTCTCAGAAAACCAAAATAATGACCCTGTGATGGTATTTCACTTGATTTCAGCAAGCAGATATGCTGTTTGTGCTGGTTACTTAATAGAATTTAGAATCACCGTGGAAACAAACCTCAGGGCACATCTGTAAGGAGCTTTCTAGGTAGACTTATTGGGGTAGAAACATCCACCCTAACTGGGCCATGCCACTGTTCATAGGTCAGGGTCTTGGATTGACTAAAAAGGGGAGGGGAACATGAGCACCAGTGGTCATCTGCTTCCTCACTGCAGGTGCGTGTGACCAGCTGCCACAGGTCTCTGCCACACAGACTCTGAAACTGTGGAACAACATAATCCCTTCATTTTTTAAGCTGCTTTTGTCACAGCAACAAGAAAATTAACTAACACACTAGTATTATCTTGAACTGTAATAATTCTACCATAGTAACTAGATGACTGGCTGATGAAAGGACCTGGAGCAGCTCTAGTGAATAGCCCTAGTGTTTTGGTGTGGATAGTAAGCATTTTGTTTTTGTTTTGTCTGTTCATATTCCTGTCTTAGCCTTCTTGGGATGGGGGTAGTACACACTTTCACATACTCTTTATCGTGTGCTGGTCTGTGTTCAAAGGGTGGTGTTTGTACTGCTTGTTTCATTGCTTCAACAAAATGCATGACAACAGCTTAAGGAAGGAAGGGTCAGTTTCAGCTCACAGTTTGAGAGCAAGCTTCATATGGGTTGAAAAATGGCCTAGTATTTACATTTCAGTGCTAGAGATCAAATCCAGGGCTTTGTATATGCTGAGCAAGTACTTTACCACCAGGCAGCACCCTGCCCCTGCATTCCTAGTGAGTAAGGCGCTGGCGCCAATCAGAGTAGTAAGGGCAGAATCGCACTCTAAGGACTGTATAAGGTGCTCACTTCATCCAGCTGCACTTGTTTTAAAATTGGGATGATACAGAGATTAGCATGGCCCCTTGCACAAGAGTGACATGCCAATTTATAAAGCAGTCAATATTTTTTAATAAATAAATAAATAAATAATAAACTGCTTATAAGAAAAGAAGTGCAGGAATGAAACTCAATGGTAGAATGTTTGTCTGTTGTGTGAGGCCTTAAAGTTGATCTCCACCACTGCAAGAAAAGAAAATGAAGTTGGTTACCATAAATGTTGGGTGCCTGTAATAGTTAAGTCTTTGCTCCCTGAGGGAGAGGTGGTAGCAGTGCTGTCAAGGGCTGGAGAGCCTGAAGAAAGGTGGGTAGAATTCTACTAAGCAGAGTTCTGATTATTCTTGCCAGCTAGTTAAAGAAATTGAGGCTTCAGTTTGAGAACTAAACTTAAGTCAACATGTAGTACAAATAATAAAAACCAAGCTGAAGATCAGAGAAGCAAAGCAGCCAGTCACTAGAGAGTTAACACCTCTTCCAATGCTTAGACCGAAGGGACCAATCCACTGGATCTCAGATTGCACCTCCAGACTGCAATGTTCTCCACCCATCTCAGAATCCCAGACTGCTCTCCGAGACTGCATTGAGATCCTTACATACTTTTTAGTGCTGGGATTAAAGGCATGACCTCTTTTAGACTGATTTACTCTCATGTAGCCCAGAGTGGTCTTGGACTCACAGGGATCCATCTGTCTCTGTCTCCTGAGTCCTGGAATTAAAGGTGTGTGCCACCACTGCCCAGCTTCTATAAGCTAACTAGTGTGACTGGCTTTGCATTCTGGTCTCCAGTAACTTTATTTGATCATAAACAATATATCACCACATCGGCATTCTTTCTTCTTTAATTATGTGGAAGTTTATTTTGTGTAGGTGAGTGCACATGCCTATGGAAACCTGAGGCATTGGAGTCCCTGGAACTGGAGTTACAGGTGGTTGTGAGCCACCTGATATTAGTGCTGGGAACCAGGTTTGGTCCTCCGGAAGAGCAACAATTGCTTTTAACCACAGACCATGACATGGGCAGAGCTGTAGAAGCAAGGATGCTTATTATTATTTGGTCTGGGAGAGTACTATAGTGTGAGAGGAAGGGAGGGAGGCTTGGTATTGAATTGTCAAATTCAGGAGTATCCTGGCTGTCAGACTCTTGGTCTCCCCCAGAGTCCTGCTTTTCTGGTGCATAATAAAGGGTACACACTATATTGTTCCTAATCTGTGGCTCATACACTTTGGCCTAATTTTATCTTTATTGGCTTGCTTTTTCTTTGCCTTTTTTATCTTGACCACATTGTAGTTTACCTGGCCGGAATTCTTGGGCTCCAGTGAGGTGAACGTGGAGGACTTTTGGACGACAATGGAGACAGAAGTGATTGAGCAGGTTGCATTCCCTACAAGCATCCCCATCACCAAATTTGATGCCTCCGTTATCGCTCCCTTCTTCCCACCACTCATGAGAGGAACTGTGGTCGTCAACACTGAGAAAGACAAAAACCTAGATGTGCAGCCAGTACCTGGTAAGACCATTTGGTTTCCATTTGCTATTAAGAGAATGGCTCAGTCAGAAGTCTTGAACATTGGCCTTGGCAAGACAGAGAGTGGAGGTAGAGAGGGCCGGGCCGCTCTCAAGGACTGTCTAAAAATACATAGCTGTGGCTGGACATAGTGGTAAAACCTTTAATCCCAGCACTCGGAAGGCAGAGGCAGCTGAATCTCTGAGTTCAAGGCCAGCCATCCAGTACTATATAATGATCCCTGTCTCCCAAAAACAAGAAAGAAAGATACATTTTGAATTATGACCCAAAATGATACCCACACTCTGGCACATGTCACATCTATAGTTAGAAACTTGCAAAGAACAGTAATTTTCCTATGCCAAGTATAATACATCTTATTTTTGTTTTGATTTTTAAAATCCTGGAAATGAAGTATTAATTTTGTCTGTGTTCTGTGTGACACCCTGGTTACAAACAGTGTTTTTTAACATTAGAGAAAGGGGCTCTCCCTCTCTCACTTAAGCCACTTTGACCTCTGAGCTCTGCCCCCTTTAAGTTAGGTCAAGAGCATAGTATATAGAGAGCATTTTTTCAATGACACTTCTTGCCTTGGGCTCAGTGGTTAAGAACACTTGTTGCTCTTGCAGAGAAAACCAGGTTCAGTTCCCAGCCCCCACATGGTAGCTTAAGTCATTGGTGACTCCAGTTCCAAGGGGTCTGATGCCCTTTTCTGACCTCCATAGGCATCAGGCACATACATGGTATACATAAGTACATGCACGCACTCAGAAATAGAAGAAATTTAATGTAATAGCTCGTGTTTCTCTCGCTGCTCTTGGTTAAGAAAACAGAATCTGTTGGTTAAAGGGTGACCTGTTTCAGGGTTCTTGATCGTGTCTCTATTTCTGTTGTCAAAGGTAGGTGTTTCAGGGGCATGGTCCATTTCTGAGAGCATTCAAACATCAGTGAAACTGTAGGCCTGCCTACTACCCCACCTCTCCCAACACCCTGAGGAGTGCTGTGGGTAGAGTTGGCTTCCACTCCTTGGCTGTCAGCAGCACCTCCCATCAGCTTTATTATGTGTTGCAGGCAATGGCAGCGCCTTGGTGAGGCTGCTGCAGGAGGGTACCTGCAAGCTTGAGGAACTTAGCTCCTATGGTGGGGAGGAACTACAGTACCTATTGGAGCAGTGTGGCATCCCCTATGGCCCAGAAGACTCCAGGGTGAGTGTTGGGAATAGCTGTGAAGACTGGGGCTTTGGGAGCAAGAATGCTAATCTCTGTTCTATACAGGTTATAAACCCCATATGATTGGGCACTTGAGCTGGGCAGAGGGTTCTAGAAGTGAGAAACCAAAGAAATAGCAGCAGCCAGATGGTTGTGTTGTGATATTTTGTTTGTGTTCTGACAAAGCTTGCCTAGAGATCAGAGAAGCAAAGAAGCAGCCACAGTCACCTCTTAACCTCTCTGAATCCTCTGAACAAAAGGGATGAGATCCTGTCTATGCCCTGTCTTATCACTTCTTCTCTCCTCCCTGTGTTATCACTTCCTGTTTCCTCTCTGTACAGACCTCCAGACCTCTATGGTTAAATAGTGTCTAGCTCCACCCTCTGATCTCCAAGCAAGTTTTATTTGTCAGAATACAAACAAAATATCACAACATAGTGGCATGTACGTGATGCCTTGCCTAGACTCGGGTTTTTAATCCTGACTCCTCTCACTCTGTATGGTGATTTAAATTTGATTAACCCCATTTACAAATCAAAACAATTGAAAATTCACAAGGCTCTTGTAAAGAACACTTCACACAGAGACTGATTTTAGGCTCATAAAAATGACTGCTGTGAATGTAGACTGTATGCTATGTATGGAATTTAGCCATACCTTACTCCCTTTCTGTGCTGTTGAAACTGTGCTTCATTCAAATTCAGATTCAAATTGTCCCTCCTCTTTGAATGTTTCTCTGACAAGGCACCTGGCTGGCAGCTTCCTTTGGAGCTTCCGGAAGTTTACCTATACCTCCAGGAGGGGCTCAAGGCTCTAAGGCCTAGCAGTTGATCCCTTTGCTGTGGGTGGGGAGAGATGTTTGATACTGAGTACCTTAGCATTTGTGCCTGAGTTTTAGACTTTTCTTCTCTCCAGGATCAGCTCTGCTTCTCCTTATTGGCCCTCTATGAATCTGTACAGAATGGAGCCAGAGCCAGACCGCCCCCAACTCATTTCACAGGGGGTAAAATCTACAAAGTGTGCCCCCATCAGGTGAGAAAGTGGCATGAGTGGAGCATAGGGTGAGCTTGCTAATGTCAAACTGCCCACAGGGAATCTGATCGTTCCCTTTGGAACTAGGACTTGCATCACTGTGAAACCAGGGACCATTGCCATTTTGGGGGCTAGAGTGGGAGCTTGGGTCGTTTGGTAGTATTTATTAAACACCTTACTAATGCTGGCCCTGAGCTGCCCACTTGTACAACAGTGGTAAAAGACAGAGATGCTGTTCTATAGTTGACCTGTTGTCATATAGAAAGAAGGTTACCATAGTTTGTGACGCTAGTTCTGGAGGAACCAAAGAACTGAGGTAGAAAACAGGGGTGAACCTACAATCTCTAGGCATCCAGAGAAGGCCGAGACCTGGGGATAAAGGAAAAGCCCAGAGGAGAGCCAGAGAAGTGGTCAGAGGCCTTTAGGATGGTGTTGAATAGGAAATGGAGTGGTGAAATCACTCCAGATGCTTTGTAGAAGGGGATGGATAGGGTAGACAGAGAAGGCTACAGGATAGGTTGTGTATGGCAGAATTGGCCTGGGAAGATACCAGAATGGAGCACCTAAGACTGAATGGGCGTTGTCAACAGAGTCAGTTCACAGCGATGAGAGTCAGGCTGAGCTGGCCATAATAGGAGGGTGAGGCAGCCAGTCACTGGAACAAAGCTGGGGACAGGGGCCTTAGAGGTCTACTCTCTGGCAGTTCAGCATCTGCTCAGAGAGTGTGTCCAGATGTGCCCCTCGTCATCTGAGATACAGTGGACAGTAGAGGAATTCAGGTGCTGTCTTGGACTACAATAGGGAGCATTTCATGTGGAAGTGACAGACAGGTGAGTGTGAAGGCAGAGCTCTCCAGTGTACTCAGATCTGTCTGTCCAGCCGTGGAGTGACTGGAGAGTGTTGGTAGAAGTGCTTACTAGGCACCAGCAAAGGCTGTTGTGTGGGCAGCCTGTTGAGGACTAATGGGAACCTTGCTCAGAATACTGGTGCTTCAGTCCAGAGGCCCTAAGCCTGTGTTTACATTGCCAGGATGCCTGGTGGTGTGATATGGATGGAGTAGGGTTGAGATGTTCTGGGGCACCTTTCAGCCTAATCCAAGTCCTAGCTGTTCTCAGGACAAGGATGAGCTGGTGACTTTCTATAGAGATAGAAGTAGGAGGGGAGGGCCAACACAATGACTCAGTGGCTAAAGGCGCTTGCCAGGCAAATCCAGCAACCTGAATTCACCCCCGAATCCACTGTGGAAGGAGAGAACCGACTCGTGAAGAGTCGTCCTGCTTTCCTGTGTACTGTGGCATGCTGCACAAGCCTGTACACAATAATAGAGGAAGAGAGGGACCAAATGTCAACAGTCCCTGGCCTCAGTCATGAGGCTGATCTTCAAGCCAGTGAGTGCCTACTCCAGTGCCTGTTTGCTGGCCCCTGAACTCTGAACTGTACCCTTCATCTCCCACAGGTGGTCTGCGGTTCCAAATATCTTGTTCGAGGTGAAAGTGCCCGTGACCATGTGGATCTGCTTGCCTCTTCCCGCCATTGGCCACCTATCTATGTGGTAGATATGGCCACACCAGTGGCGCTATGTGCTGACCTCTGCTACCCAGAGCTGACTAGTCAGATGTGGGGGAAGAACCAGGGCTGTTTCTCTAGCCCTACAGAGCCAGTTGTGGTGAGTCCCCTCCTAAGAACTGGCGTAAATTCCTGGGGATAATTCCAGTTATCAGGAGAGCCTGCCTCGGAACTATCTCTAACATTCTTATTCTCCACCAATATTTTATCCCGATGCACCTTTACTGACTGACCAGTGTGAGGCCATAGTGTGTTGTTTGGTGTGCTTGGAATGTTCTAAACACAGACATGTGAAAAGAGCTTGCTTTCCAGAGAAACAAGAAAAAAAGACCACTACCTTGGGGAACTGTTTAATTCCCGAGACTTAGATTCAACCGTGAATGTGCTGTAGGGCATGACTGTTGAGGTATGGATACAGTGGTCTTGGAAAATACTCACTTTGCATCCAGAATTACAAGCTAAATCTATTTTGTGTTTTTTAAAGATTTTTAAGAGAGGTGGGGTCTGAGGTTCAGCACTCAGCACCAATCTTCTGACGCTCTTCTTTGATTAAAAAGGGAAACTAAGGCCCAGAGAGGGAGTTGGACTTGATCAGGGTCATACAGCAGATCAGTGGCTGAGTCCTTGTGTTTGTATCTTGGTGCATTGTACCGGGAGATAGTTCTGCTGAGGGGCATGTGCCTTTGTATCTTGGGCATGGTCTGCCTTTGGCCTCGAAGAGGCATTAGAGCTGATACTAGGTAAGAATGAAGAATCACAGGGGGAATGAGTGCCTCTGCCCAAGATGGGAGGTGAAGGCTTCTGGCTTGCTTTGGAGCAGACATTATTCTCCTCATTCTCTGGAGCTCTTAGGCTCTGAGAACTTGTTGTAGAGACCCCAAAAGTTGTCTGAAGTGTTCCTCAGAGCTACTGTCTCCCATTGCTCTGGTGCCTGAATTGTCCAAGTGCAATGATGACAGCCTCTGAAGCAATGCAGTGTCTGTGCTGGAATGACCGGTTTCCTATTCTCATTCCTACCAGAAGAAATGGAGGCTCACACGGGAGGCTGTGCAAGGGCTCGAGGATTTAAACAGGCTGCCTGACTCCTCGGCTCCTGCTTTTTCACAGGGTTCCCTCAGTCATTCCCTGCTACAAAGCAGCGTCTCTTCTCTCTTCCAGAGTGTGTCCTGCCCTGAACTCTTGGACCAGCATTATTCTGTGGATGTGCCAGAGGCTGAGAACTCTGTCCAGCATCCAGTCACCAAGACTACCGCACGGCGTATTGTCCATGCAAACACGAAGCCTGATCCCAGTGACCCTAGTGCTGGCCACCATTCCTTATCACTGTGCCCTGAGTTGGCACCCTATGCCTCCATCGTGGACTGCAAACTCACCAGTGTCCGCCAGCGGCCCATTGCCTTTGACAATGCCACCCACTATTACCTCTACAACCGCCTCATGGACTTCCTCACCAGCCGAGAAATTGTCAACCGGCAGATCCATGACGTTGTACAGAGCTGCCAGCCTGGAGAGGTGGTCATCCGTGATAACCTCTATCGCCTTGGGGTTGCTCAGATCAAGACTGAGGCACAGGAGGATGGGGAGGAAGAGGGAGCCTCGGTGGCAGAATAAGCCAGGTTGTCATGTACAGGGCCTACACCATCTCTCTCAAGCCATAATATGGCCCTTGCCCAAGGCAGACCTATTGAGGGGACCTGTAGTCCCCTGTAGGGAGGGCCTCTGACTGCTGGAACTGACCAAAGAGCTTCCATTTCATGAGCACAGTGGGGCCCTCAACCTCTGGGCTCAAGAGAGGTGCTGGGGAACCTCTGCTGAATCCGAGAGAGCATGTGGAGGGCTTGCTATTTTTAGGGAACGCCTGGGAGCTGGTTGCTCAGGCCCACCAACACCTGTGGTCCCTGCACCAGGTGGGGAACCATTGAGCTAAGCTGTCCCAGGGGGAGGAGCTCTGACTCTAGTCATACAGGCTTCCTAGCCTGTTGCCTTTGACTAGGGGCCTTAATGGCTTATTCATTCTTGGGGTCCCTTTGGGCTCTTCATCCTAAAGCAGGGGTACATTCTTTTTTCCTCCAGCTTTCTCTGTTCCCACAACTTAGAGCAGCTGAGGAGGGAGGAACAATCAGTTCTAGCTCCCTCCAGGACCGTCCTCTGCCCTGGGTTTTGGGGAAAAGAATCCTTCCTCCTTTCTCTGGCCACTGCTAACTGTACCCTACATCCTCCGGGCCCTCAGACCCTCACCACAGAGGGGATGTGGCCCATAGTTGTGACATAGCTGGCAAGCAGTAGGAAAACTCCCTTCTGTGAAGGGGAAGCAGATAGGGCTGTAAGCAAACAGCAACACAGGCTCAGGTGCCTGTGGTTTGCTCAGGGCCCGGGAATTGGCCGAGTGCTATTTAATTTATTGAGAGGGTGGGATAGGTGGCTTTCCCTCTCGTTCTTCCCCCAACAAGAATAAAGTTTATTAAATTATCTGGTTTTGATTAAGCAAGAGCCAGGTCCCTGCTCATTGTATCCTTTCGCTCTGGAAGTGGGCGCTTGCTGTTCACTTCTCATGAGGAGTGCATGGAAGGAGGTCCTAGGGAACTTGTAGACGCTTGTGTGGTGCAAAGAATCAGGCACTACTGGCTGTGTTAATGCTGTTAGTTTAATACTGACTGTTAATGAGGACAAATCACTTGGAGAGGAGCATGCAGTATTTGCTTGGTGTGGCCAGCCTTGCACTAAGGTCCCATGCCTTCCAGCTTAGAATGACAGGGTACTGGATAGAACAGCCCTCACTATTAGCTGCCACTTGGCTCATTCTTGCAGTACAAGATCCAGGATAAGGTGAGACTATAGGATGGAGGTCAAGAGTGGAGACCAGTCCTGTGAGCTTCTTAGGAAGGAGCCACCCTGCCCCAAGAAGCCTGTAGTCTGTGAGCATGGCAGGGAGGGAGGAAGGCAAGCCTCTGCTTACCTACAGCCTTGGGAGCCTTGTCCTTTTTCTGAGACACAAAAATCAGTCTTTCCGTTGAAACACAAAACATTTAGGAACAGAGGTTCTTCCAAGTAGGAACAAACAGGATGAAGATAGTGAACTAGGGGTGCTCGAATTGGCATAGTAATACAGGCAAGCACTGTGAAAACCCCATTGGCAGTGATGGCCCAGGCTCTGGGAATGGGGGTCTCTGACCTCCCCAGACCCCCTCATGTTCTGAAGTTTCAGAGCTGGGCCAAGCTGAGGATAAAGTTCACATGTTCTCCCCATGTCACCTGTCCATGGAGGAGGTAGAGCTGGGAGGTGGGGAGCAGCAGCATGCTGTCCCACTTCAGCAGAACTGGTAATTGTTGGGCTGCAACAGGGGCTGGGCAATGTCCCCCTGTTCACAGCAGGCCAGGTTCTCACTGGAGCTCTCCTCCTCTGGCTCACTGCTGCTGCCGCCGCCGCCACCACCACTGTCACTGCTGCTGCTGCTGCTTGGCAGGTTAGCATAGTCCTGAGTGGGGAAGAAGCCAGAGACGGCTGAGGCTTTTCAGGCCTGGGCCAGCCTGTGCTAGACAGCCAGACAGCCATTCCAGCCTTCTCACCTGCTCTTTCTTGTCCTGTTGGGCCTGCTCCTGAAGGAGGAAGCAGATCTGCTGGAAGGTGGGTCTCTTGGTAGGCTCCAGGTCCCAGCAGGACTGCATAATGCTGTATCTGGAGACAGAACAGTTTGCCCAGGTCAAGCTCCTCAGGGCACATCACTAGGGAGGATCTTCCTAGTTAGGACCCAAAACTAGTCAGAAGTAAGTTAGGGGTTGGAGGTATGGCCTAGTGGTACAGCACCTATTAGCATGCTTGATGCTCCTGGATTCAAAGTTTAGTGTAGAACCTTAATACACTGCAGATGGAAGCCGGGAACCTTCTAGACAAAGACCAGGGCTACGTGCTTCTCTAACAACCACCCTAACCCTAGAGATCCTTTCGCCTCTCTGGATCCCTTTGCATACATGTTCTTTGGTGCAAAAACAGGCTGGGCCATTTGGTATCCATCCTTCACCAGTTTGTAGAACTTGCTGTTCACCAGGATGCCTGGGTAGGGATTCAAACCTGCAAAGACCAGGAGCATATAAGAGACCACACTTGCTTTCCCCTTCTCCACCCATGTGCATCTCAGAGTGTAAAGGTCCCATCCCATCTGTAGCCCTAGAGTAGAAACTACTCATATGCCCAGGACTCCCTAGGCGAGGCACTAAGTAGTGAGTACGCTTAGGCTTTGGGAGCCCACAGCTGTCAGCCCCTCATTACCAACCACAGAGAGTCCAGCACAGGCTTTGGAAGTAGACAGAACAAAGCCTGGATTGTGAATCAGTAAAGAGGTGACACCAGATTGCTTGGTAGTGCAATTAATGACTTGGCGCAAGGGCCGTGGGCCTCCTACTCCCCAGTAAATGGGAGCCAGAAGGTGTCTAGTGGCATCTTCAATGGCATTTGTCAGGTAGCGGTCTAGATAACAGCTCCTGCCAAGCAAAGGCAAGTGAGGGAAAGACTCAAGAAATGTTCATTGTCTGGAGGGTCTGAATCACACTCAGGTGCTGTGCTGATTCAAGAGCCGTCTCCATCCCTTGGCCCTTGCTCTGTCTTGGACACCAGGCATCTTTGAATAGATTTTGGTCATGAGGTTCAAGACACTAGTGGAGTAGCCAAAGACAGGTCAGCTCAAGCTGTGCCTGAAACAGGCTTAACAGCTCACCAAGTGAGAAAATCTCCCAGAGGAGGATTCCGTAGGACCACACGTCACTCTGAACTGTGTAGACACAATCGAAGATGCTCTCTGGGGCCATCCACTTCACAGGAAGCAGGGCCTGACAAGACAGTCCCATGTCACTTGGGGCTCTGGCTTTCCACAGCCTGCCCAACAAGTCCCACTCAGCACTCACATTGCCCTTGACGACATAGTTGGAGTCATTCATGATGTCCCTAGCCAGCCCAAAGTCCCCAATCTTGGCCACATGTCCGCTGGTCAACAGCACGTTTCGAGCTGCTACATCCCGGTGGATGCACTGAGGAAAACACAAGATTAGTCCGTTTATCTCTCCCAGGCCCAGGACAGGGAGCATGAGGTCTTGGGTTCCTGATGAGGGAGTAGATACAGGCTTTGGTAGTCTACTCCTGTCCAAACTTGTGCAGGTCTGAGGTCTGAGAGAATTTAATGTGGCCAATTGAGCCTTTAGAAATCCCCACAGCCCTGTCTGCTGCACCCCTCTTGTCTTCTGAGCATCAGTAACTGCCCGGCTGCTGCAGCCTCAGAAGCTCTCTGAGCAGCTGCCACCTCTGAGCATACAACACCAGGTGCTTCTCCAAGCATTTGCATACATAACCTATTAGACCCTCTACACAATTCGTGAGAATGCCCATTTTCGTAGACCCAGATCCTGAGGCTTACAGAATCTGAACTGTCACAGCAAAGAGCAGAACCAGTGGGCAAACCTTTGCCCCTGTTCTGAGGGTGGCGGTCTGAGCCCTTGAGTTCTGAACCAGCAAGATTGCTTCATGAGGAGAAACAACTGTTGTCTCATTCACTCCACTCACTGCTATGGAAGATAGTTGTCAAGCTTGTTTGTGGCCACATAGGGAAACCGGCATGCAAAGGCCAGGGCCAGGCCTCCAGGAGGAGCCCCCTGGAGCACTGTTCCTCCCACTGCCTTCTGAGGCTCTCTGTACATTGCCCACTTCCTCTCTCCCACTCCCACTCCTCCACTGCTTCTCACGGGCTCCCCTCCCCTCCCATTCTTCATCCCTGCAACCAGTAGGAATTCAGCCTCCCCTCACCTAGACTCACATTTTTAGAAGCAAGGAAAGCCATGCCCTGAGCCACTTGACTGGAGAAGTGGAGCAGGTCCCAGAGCTCCAATGGCCGGCTGGCCTCTTTGTCCAGATCTAGGAAAAGGCATAAAGGCAACCCTGTCACACCCTGCTCCTCCTCAGCCCCAGTTCCCCGTCCCCAGTCCCTAGGCCCATCCACCCTTCTCTCCCCTCATCCTGGTCCCTCCGAACCTTGTTCAAAGGAGTCATTTGAAGAAGTAGACACAGGCCTCATCTCCACATAGGTGTCTACACCCTGACTTGAGAAGCCACTGTCCCTGGATAGGAAAGACAATTGGGAAGTGATCAATGTGTAGCCAAGCCCAGGCATTGTCCTCCAGCTGCCCCGTGGACTCCCTTAGTCACTTAGCAGAGGGGAAGGAACCTAAAGTTCAGCTTTATTGTCCCTCTCTGATAAGGAAGGCCCCATGCCACATTCTACTTAAGCAATCATTGTGCCCTTCTTAGCCATACCCAGTCCCAGAGACACCCCATTCTGTCATTGGCAGCTCTGCCTATTCAAGGTCTTTTTTTTTTTTAAAGATTTTATTTATTATGCATACAGTATTCTGCTTCCATGTATATCTGCACACCAGAAGAGGGCACCAGATTTCATAACGGATGGTTGTGAGCCACCATGTGGTTGCTGGGAATTGAACTTAGGATCTCTGGAAGAGCAGGCAGTGCTCTTAACCTCTGAGTCATCTCTCCAGCCCCTTATTCAAGGTCTTTGTTGCTCCTAAACCAACATGCCGCTGGGATTTCCATATCCATCCTCAAGATGCTAGCAACAATGGTGGAATAGGAGTACATTCCAGGCCCCTTCTCTGAGCTCTCCAAGCAGCATCTTACCAGCTGGCTTCTCATTAAAAGTCACTCCATGAGGGTTGTACTATGGCTTGGGGTAAAGGCACTTACTTCCTGAGCCCAATCCCAGCAACCCATATCATGGAGAGAGACCCAGCTCATACATCTACATTACAAGTAAATATATATGAAGACAGAAAATTAAAGATCACACAGGAAGGGGTCTGGAAGGATGGCTCAGCCTCTAAGAGCACTTGCTGCTCACTCAAGGGATCTGGGCTTGGTTTGTGACCCATGGTGGCTCACAACTGCCCATTCCCCCAGTTCCAAGGTATCTGACACCATCTTGGCTGCTGTGGGCACCAGAAACACATGTGGTACTCACACACAGAGACTCATGCGCATACATACACTTTAAAACCAACTGCTTGGAGAAGTTTTAAATTCCCCATGCTCCAAGCAGCCACTCATCGCATTAAACTTGCCCAGGTCTAAAGCAGAGATTAAACTGACTTAGGGCATCTGAGCCCCAGGGAGTCTCTTTCAGTGAAGATTGTATCTCTGTAGGTTTGGATACCCAGGCACTTGCTGTAGGTGGTAAGCCACCTGTAGCACAGCCCTACCCTGCAACCCAAAACAGCCACTGCTGATGCTGAGCAGCCAGCCAGATCTGGTTTGCCAGCAAGCTGCTCAGCCCCTCAGTTTTTACCCATACCCTCAGGCTTCCGGAAAGAAACTAGGGTCACCGCTAGGATCCATCTATGGCACAGCCACCATCTCTCCTTGTTCAGGAACCCATAGTTCTACAATAGCACAACTTGGGGCCCATAAGTAGGACTGATTTAAATGTCACTTGTTCCTGAGATGTCCTATATTAGCGATGTTTTGATTGTCTGTACACTTGAAGGAAGCTAGGGAACCTCTTTCTCCTTTGGCTCCCCCGGGCTCAGCAGCAGCCAGTGCCTTCAATATAAGACAGTGTACTTTCCCCTCATTCTGAGTGTGGGCCTGTTCCTGGTAGTCTAGCACAAGGATTGCACCCACCATGACCCAAAACAGAGACTCCAACTTAAAATATAGCAGGCTTAGCCCATGTTCCGCCCCCCTCTCCCATTCATGGGCAACATGAAACTTATTTCTTCCTCTCTCTGCTTCCACATGTGGCTCTGTCCATAGTCTCTGGTGGCTTCCAGGAATCCAAAACCAGCACAAGACCCTGAGAAGTTCAACAGACTGTTGGCTCACCCAGGGAAACTGTGGCCTGAGTGAACCAGAAACCTCACCACAGGCCAGACATGTTGGCCACTCCTGAGTGGACTATGTGTCCTGCAGCTCCCGCAGACATGCTGTGGGACAAACAGGAGCACGCATTTCCACCAAGTCCTCCCATCTCTGGTCAGGCCTCCACGTGTGGGCCTGGGAGAATCTTTCCACACTTGAAGGTGATGTGTTCATGAACCCATCGCCTTCCAGATTCCTGGAACATGGTAAGTGTTCAGATAGTTGTTAAACTATGGGAATGTGTTGTAAGAAAGCAGAGTTGCCTTAGAGCCTGGGTTAGGTGTTCCTCATGACACACAGGATGTGTGGGATCCCCTTCCCATCATGGCCTCCTTTCTGCCCTGCCCTTTGCCAGGAGCTACCTTCGAACATATTTCTTCTCCAGGTGGATGTTCTTGTAGCTGGAGTGCCCCTCAGAATCCTGACCAGGATTCAGGCTGGGTCCCAGCATGGCCTCAGCTTTCCTTCGCAGGAAGTTGAGTAGGTCGCCATAGCAGCAGTATTCAGTGATGACCAGGACAGGCCCTAAGGCAGCCAGAAGTGGGAGTGAGAGAGATGCACCCCCAAGGGTCCATTCCCTGTGTGAACAGGGGCCTCCGAGTTCTTTTTTTGAGACAGGGTTTTTCTGTGGCTTTGGAGGCTGTCTTGGAACTAGCTCTACAGACCAGGCTGGTCTCAAACTCACAGAGATCTGCGTGCCTCTGCCTCCTGAGTGCTGGGACTAAAGATGTGTGCCACCACCGCCTGGCTGGTCTCCAAGTTCTAATCCTGCCTCTGACAGCAGGCTTCTCAGTGCTTTAATAACCCTATCTGTGTTAAGCATTATGGAAACTTAAACTCTCAAAGAATCTAGCCTAGCCTAGTGTGGTGATGCTTGCTTGTAATCCCAGCCCTCGGAAGGCTAAGACAAGAAGATTGTGAGTTTAAGGCCAGCTTGTGCTACATAGGAAATTCCAAACCAGCCTGGGTTAAAATGAGACTGTCTCAAAAAAGGGTAAAAAAAATTTAGCCTAAAATTCTTTATTCAGAGGAGAATGGCAGTTCAATATAGGACGAAGCTGCTATAATGAAGAGGAGAGGGGTAACTTGGAGTCTTGGGGCATGCACATCTGGGGGTAGGAGCTTCTTAAAAGGTAGATCTAAGTCAGGCATGGCACACCTTTAATCCTAGCACCTAGGTGGATCTCTGTGAGTTTGAGGCCAGTCTAGTCTACAAAGTGAGTTCCAGGACAGCCAGGGCTACACAGAAAAACCCTGTCTTAAGCACACACAGGGGAGGGGGGGAGGCAGGGGCAGGGAGAAAGGTAGATTTGGGGCTTCATGTTAAATGCCCCATAAGTGAACTCAGCTACCTGCATCACCCACCCGTGAGCAGCTCCTGCTGTCTGTGAGTCCATGAATATCAGAGATTTGGAGGCAGGGATGCTATAGACACTTAGAGCAGATGAGAAGGGAAACTTGCAGCCAGATATCCAGGGTCCCTTTGATACCTAAGACCATGAGTCCCCCATTCCTTCCCAGTTCTCACCTCCATGAGTGCAGGCTCCCAAGAGGTTGACTATATTCTCATGCTGTCCCAGGTGACTCATGATCTTCAGTTCTGACATTAGGGCCTCCTTCTCATCAGCATGCGCCGTGGCTGGGAAATGGAGCACCCAGACACCCAGAGGGATCAGAATCCAAAAGAGGGAGGAGAAATGCAGACAGACAGAGGGGAGGGAGAGAGAAAGACAGGAAGACAGATGGGGAAGGAGAGGAAGGATATGCCTGCTATTGAGCTAACCTGGGGTGAAGGAAGCCAAGGTGTGACAGGGTCATTCCCCTGGGTGGCTTCTGTTCACCCTAACCTCCCTTGGGCTCAGTCAGAAGGCCAATTCCTCCTCAAAGGGGGACAAAGACCCTCAGAACCAGGGGTCACAAGGAGCCTGGAGCTCAGCTGGGAAGTCAAGTCCCAACTTAAAATCTCCCAGGTCCCAAAAGGTTTAGAGTGTGGCAGGTACTTCCTGTGGCAGCTGAGCCAGCCTACTCCCACCACACACCATCCCCAGGTCCCAGCGTCCCCCGTGCTGCACCTCCGCCAACTCACACTTGAGCATCTTCACAGCCACCTTCAGCACCGCATCTTCTTTGCCCAGACCAAAGGCCGTGGCCTCCACCACCTTCCCAAAGGCACCAGCTCCAAGAGTCTTACCTGTCACACACACATGGGTTCCTTAGGGTCCTGAGGCCCACCGGGGTCCCTGTAGCCCCCATCAGGAGTATGATGGGAGATCACAGAGCACTGAGACCCCCTCTCACCAAACTGCAGGTTGTTCCGGGGGAACTCCCACTTCTCATTGTAGGGCAGCTGGGTGGGGTCGATGAAGGTGTAGCTGTTCCCCTCATAGCTCTCAATGATCTTCCAGCGCACCTGATACTTGGGCTTCTGCAGAAGGAAAGGGAGGCATGGGGCTGATGGGCAGGCCTTGCATCTCACCTCCCAAGAGCAGGAGAGGACAATGCAGAAGCTCCCAGCCTGCTATGAGCTGAGAGGCAGCATGGCATCTTGTGGGCAGAGCATCTAAAGTTAATCCGTGCTTGATCCTGCTCTTACTGTGTGACCTTCCCTTCTCCAACCCTCAGTTTCCTTAGCTGTTCATCCAAAGACTTGGATAAGATCATTTCTGGAGGCCTTGATGCCTCTGAGTTTGATAATTCCAGGCCAAGGTAGAAGGTAAAAGTTGAGAATTATCCATCCATTCACAAACCTGTCCATTCTCTCATCCAAGTAGTTTGTGTTGATGATTTTGTTTGGGGTGCTAGGGACTGGATGAGGGCCTTATATATGCATAAGTACATACTGGACAACTAAGCTATCCCCCAGCCCTACTTTTATTTTCAATTGTAGGCAAATATACAGAACAGAAAATGTGCCATCCCACACATTTTCAAGTGTACACCTCAATAGTATTAAGTACATTCACACTGAATTTCCAGAACTCCTTTGATCTTATAAAACAAGCTCGGTACCCAGGGAATAAATAGCAACTCCCCACCCCCTCACCTCCTTTCTAGCCACTGGAAGACATGACTCTACTCTGTCTCTAATAATTTTACTGCTCTGGGTGCTAAGGAGGTTCCCAGACTAGCATTTGCATGGCTAAGAGAGGCATTCAATTTAAACATGTAGATAGGAAACCTTCAAATAATGCCGTGACAGATGCACCCATTGGTGTAAATAGTGTCAAGTTTGTTATGGGGTAGCCAGCCACGTTCTGATCAGAACTGAGGCTACAGGAAGGAATCCACATCTGGTACTGTCATCTTGGTCAAAAGTTCCTGGTTAGGGAGGTTATTAACCCTAGTGGGGAACCTACAGCTGCTATTTTGCTAAATGGATAGGGTATGACTGTCAATTAACCTTCTAAACAATTCTGTTTATCCCCGTAGATCAATGCTGTTCTTAGCTTTGGTCAGAGAAGCTGACCAAAGATCAGAGAAGCTGTTTGCAACCTTCAGCAGTAACTGCAGAGACTTGTGACTAGTCAAGATGCTCAGTCTGTTGAATGCTCAGCCACAAATGAGACATCTGTATTCCTCCAAGTCTTGGGGTGGGGCTCCATAGGAAAGAACGTAAGAGCTGGGGTGGGGTGGAGTGTATGAATACGGTCTTTCAGGCATGACACAGGTATTGTATTCTCGACTTCATACCAGCTGTGAGTACCTGTGTAAGACCTGGACAGACAGGGCCTATCAACAGCCTGTCACGGAGGACGGAGAGGCTCACAAGTGCCCTCCCTGAAGAACTTTAAGCAGTTAATGATTCCTGGGGTGGGAGAGAGGTTTTCCTCAGTTGTATAAGTAACTTCTCACCTATACTTCTGTAAGCAACCCTAACGAAACATATTGGAACATATACACACAAATATACATATACATCTGTACTTGTGTACACACATACACAAATATGCACACACAAATACACATACACATCCGTACACATGTACACACACACACACACACACACACACACCCAAAAAAAAAAAATTAAGTTGAAAGAGTTTGGAGAAAGAAAGGGAAGGGGTAACAAGAGTAGGTAATGAAGGGTGAATGTGATTAACTTCATCAAGATATATTATGTACAAAAAAAGATACATTATGTACATGCTTGAAAATGTCATACTGAAACCCATTATTATATAAGGAATAGATAATAACAATTTTTTTGTTTTTGTTTTTCTAGACAAGGTTTCTCTGTGAAACCTGTAGACCAGGCTGTCCTGGAACTCACTCTGTAGACCAACTTTCCTCAACCTCACAGAGATCTGCCTGCCTTTACCTCCCGAGTGCTGGGATTAAAAGTGTGCGTCACCACTACCTGGCCTAACAAATGTTTTGAAACATTTTAAAAATACCACCATGAAGTCAGCAACGCAGGGTGATGGGACAGAGAGTGATATGAGATGAGCAAGGAGAGCCTATGAGGAGCCAACCAGTCAGAGTTGTCCAGGGACAGAGCACGCAAATGCCGAACAGCTTGAACAGGGTAAGATCCTTACAAACTCAGGCAAGTGACCAGTGTGGCTTAGGGAATGAGAGGGGAGCTTCCATGCAGGAGGGTCAGGAGGGCTGTAAGAAGTGGACTGTCACCAGGCGGTGGTGGCACACGCCTTTAATGCCAGCACTCGGGCAGCAGAGGCAGGGGGATCTCTGTGAGTTCCAGCCCAGCCTGGTCTCCAGAGCGAGTTCCAGGACAGCCAGAGCTACACAGAGAAAACTGTCTTGAACCATCCCCCACAAAGTGAGCTATCTCTTAACTTTAACTCCCCCCCCACAAAGTGGGCTATCTCCTAACTTTAACTCCCCCCCAACAAAGTGGGCTATCTCCTAACTCTAGGAAGAGGAAAGAGGTGCTGAGGCAGAGCCCTGTGGCAAAAGGGGGTGGCTGCACTTTATGCTGCCTCCGGTTCCCTCTCGGGTTCTCTGTGCCCTTCCGACACAGCTAAGCTTGGGGTCTTGATAGAAGCAGTGATTGCTTCACCTTTCCCTGCCCCTGGGGCAGCAGATGAGGGTGTCACACCATGATCTGCCCCGAGAAGTGCTGAGGGAAGGTCCCATTTAGGGGAAAGTGGAAGCTGGGCTGGGCTGGGATGGTGGAGGACACTGGGTCAACAGACCGATTGGGTGCTTCAGTGAGAGGTGCTAAAGAACATGTGAATGAGTGTTGGGGAGAGGTAGCCTGTCACTAAGCCTTACAAGCTGAAGAGATTTTTCCATAACTACAAGGAAGAACTTCCAGTTGGACATTTGAGAGAAAAGACCATAGTTAGACATAAAGAACACCCAGTTGGTCATGACAGCACATACTGTAGTCTTAACACTTGGGAGATGGAAGCAGGAGGGTGGGGTGTTCGAGGCCAGCCTAAGCTACAAGAGTTTGAGGCCATCCTCAAAGCTATAAAGACCCAGTCCTCAAACAAAAAACCTAAACACACACACAGACACCACCAGTAGTCGCAGCAGCAGTAACAAAGTGTTTGCATGTTATGGCTGAGGAAAGTGGCTGAAATGAGATTTGGGAAGGAACTCCCTCAGGCTGGGTGACCCCTCCTGTCACTCCTGTCTTGCATCTCTAGGAGTCTCTGTGGCTAGGATTGTTTTTCCCCACTTCTGCTTCCCTGTTTTTCTGCAGCTGGGCTGACTCAGCCCTCCCACGGCAATGCGGGAAGAGATGAAGGGAGAAGGGGGAAGGCGGGGGAGGGAGGTATGGCTGGGCCCCTGCCAACCTGAGGAATTCTCGCTATCCCCAGGGTCTTTGGGGGCTATCCTTGTCAAAGTGGATGGCCTGCAAGGTTTCTTCTTATCAGGGGTGGTGACTGGAATACCAGCTGCAGGGACTCCCTGAGCCTTTCCTGGAAGCCAGGCCTGGCTAAATCCTCACTATGTATCAGTTCACCAGTTGCTCCCAGTATCCCTAAGTCCAGGTCCCCCCTTGATTTCCTGACATGGATTGAAGAGAGCATGGAAACATCAGATCTTGCCCCCCCCTCCTCATCAGGCCTCTGGCTCTGTGGGACAGGTATTGAGCCTGGGGAAGGTGGAGACCTGGACACCTCTCACTACAAGCTCTACAGACCCTCCTGCTACAGTTTAGGCCTGGGCCCAGAATCTCTCCAATAGCTTCTTTCTGATTCTGCCCTTCCCTTCTCTGCACCCATCGTTCTCCCTTCCCTTGTCCCTGTCCCCAGGGCCAGCTGACTCCTACCCTTTCCTCTTCCCCTGTGCCTTCCCCTACTGTTGTGGTTTCTTGTGATGACTCAGCCCTGAGCAGAAAGAACCCTTCCACAGGCCCCTTCTCACCCATATCTGGCCAATAGACAGGTGGGGAATAGACAGGTGGGGTCGAGGTCATCTGGGAAGAGGCTGTCCTGCCTCTTCCTGCCTGCCCTGCCCTGACTCTTTCAGGTCTTTCCCTCAGGGGTACCTCAGCCAGGGAACTTCAAAGGGCATGGGGAACAGGGCAGCCTGAGGCTGCAGGTCTCCTGGCCTTGGATTGCTTAAGAGGCAGTTACATTTTCTGGATGGGAAATGAAAGCAAACTATTCAAAAAATGGCTCTATAGAGAGAGTTGAAGTGCTCTAGACCAGTCAACCAAGGCAGAAAGGCCTGTAGGATCCCGATGCTCATGGGGTACCAGAGAAAGTTTGTATATTCAAATAAGGATTTTGTGTATCTCCGAGAACCAGGTAGCCAAGACAGTGACTAAGCCTGTCTGGGTGGCAAGTAGCACCCAGCAACCAACCACTTTGGTGTGTGGTCAAGAAGATACCAACTTCAGCCATGCTCCCATCCCAACATGCATAAGCTAACTGGGTCTGCAGCCAACTTCCTTCTTGCATGGAGTCACAGGCTCCACCACTGAGTGCTACTGAAATAGGAAAAATTAATAAATTCTAAAAACCGTAGACTACAAAGCCCATATAGGAAAAAGAAAATTTCTAAGCTCCCTAAGACAGCACAAAGGAGAGACTAAACAAAGAACTGAAGATGTGCTAGAGGCCAAAGTCCAGTTAGCACATACCCAGCTGTGTCAACATTCCTTTGTCCTAAAGGAAACCAGATAGCCATCAACTTGCAGTTGTAAAAATCCCTGGCCCAGGTTAACAAACTTATATTCCCTGCCATATCCTGCTCATTTGTATCTTGTTTCATTTTGTTTTGTTTTTGTTTTTTCGAAACAGGGTTTCTCTGTGGCTTTGGAGGCTGTCCTGGAACTAGCTCTTATAGACCAGGCTAGTCTAGAACTCATAGAGATCTGCCTGCCTCTGCCTCCCAAGTGCTGGGATTAAAGGCGTGCGCCACCAGCACCCGGCTGCTCATTTGTATCTTAACTTAAACATATGGTATTTGCTTTACCACAGAAATGTGTAATCTCGGGCTTTCAGCCTCATGGTCATCCAACTGGACCTAAGAGACACCCCTCTACCCAGTGCCAAAGAGACTTGGTTCACCAACGACAGCATCTTCACTCAGGAGGGGTAGAGAAGCTTTTCTGGTCAGGCATGAAGTGGCTCACAAAGAAGCTTCTTAATGACATCCTATCCAGGTATGGTTTTCCTGCATTGTTGGGGCCAGACAATGAACTAGCTTCCACCTCTCAGGTAAGTCAGGGAATAGCCACTGCACTGGGGTCAGATTGGAAATTATATTGCCCATATATACCCCAGAGTTCAGGACAGGTAGAAAGAATGAACAGAACTTTAAAAGAGACCTTAACTGGCCGGGCGTTGGTGGCACACGCATTTAATCCCAGCACTCGGGAGGCAGAGGCAAGTGTAGGAGCTCGAGGCTAGCCTGGTCTCCAGAGCGAGTGCCAGGATAATAGGCTCCAAAGCTTCACAGAGAAACCCTGTCTCGAAAAGCCAAAGAGAGAGAGAGAGAGAGAGAGAGAGAGAGAGAGAGAGAGAACTTAACTAAATTGACCTTAGAGACTGGCACAGACTGGGTGGCTCTCCTTCCCTTTGCCCTCTATAGGGTACAGAACTTTCCCTACCAGATAGACCTCACTCCCTTTGAGATCATGTTTGGGGTACCTCCTTCTATTATCTCCAACCTCCAATCTGAACTCTCGGCAGAACTGGACTGCCGAGACTTCTTCCAGTCTATCCACACCTTACAGCTGACTCACAAACAAGTATGGCTCTAGCTTGGGGCTATCTATGAAGCTGCTGCTTCCCCTGAACTCCACAGGTTCCACCCAGGAAACTGGGTCCTTGTAGGTAGAAACCAACACCACCAGACCCTGGAACTGAGATGGGAAAGGCCTTATGTAGGCCTGATGGCAACACCAACTGCCCTAAAGGTGAATGGCATTGTCACCTGGGTCCACTACCCCCCATGCCAGACTGGCAGATCCCTTTACCACCCCCAAGTACTACAAGGGGGACACCTGGGGAGTTGCCAGACATCCCACCAACCCTCTCAAGCTTCAACTGCAAAGGAAAGTGGCATCACGAACCCCAATTTATAGACAGAGAAAGGAGCTTCAACATACCCACTTTCCTGCCGTCTCTTCTGCAGAGCCAGGCAGAGCTAGGTACCTTTTAGGCACATCCTTATTTGTATACCTTCTCCTGCCCCCAACAGTAAAGCCCAAAATTACTGCACCAGGAGCTCCTTGGTGCTAGGCCATGTTGACACACAGTAGACACCTAATGAAGAGCTCTAGTTACAAGTCAGTCTATCAGAATGAGCTAGTATGAGCAGCAGTCACCAACATCTGGCTCCCTTGTGTGTGGGGGGGTCCCTGACCCAGCTCCAATGCCCAGCTCACCTGTTTGTACTTGTACAGGAGCAGCAGCAGCAGTAACAGCAGTAGAAACATGATAGACATACAGGCCACCACCACTGGAGTGAACAGGGACTCATCAGGGAGCTGCTCGACTCTTCCTGGAAGAGGGAGACAGAGGAATGAGCAGGTGGGGTGATGTGTACTCAGTCCCATCCCTCTGCCAGGGCATGAAAATTCTCTAGCAGATTGGCTCAGTGCCCAGCCACTGCTTGTACAAAACCCCAGTGGTGGGGCTTTATCATTTGCACCTGTGGGCAGAGAGGCCCGGGGGGGTGGAGGGTTTACCCACACCTTCCTCAGCTTTCCTGCAGCTTTCTTGTGTGGCCTTAGGAGCTCAGCAACTTACTGAGTCTGAGTACTAGCTAGTCTCCCCTTCCTGACCTCTAATCCTAGTTATGTTAATGTGGTATGAAGGACACAGTTCATTTCCATGTTCAGCCAAGAGCCCCTTAGTAGATGAGTGATATCAAAGTAGGCCTTCTCTAAACATTTCAGGTGTGTCATCCTTCCATACCTGGGCCAGGGATTTTTACAACCATGAAGGAGGGATTTTACTGCTAATGGGTGAGGGGTCATGGAGACGATGCCTGGTACAATGCTAGCATTCATCACAGTGGGGCTTCACTACTTAAAACTGCCACCACCATCAGTGACACAGCATTCACAGACAACAGGGGCAACAGGTCTGCCAACACCTGCTCCATGTTAGTGACTGGAGGACATAAGTGACATGATCCCTGAGCCAAGCAGAAGCCAAGAGCTTGCCCTGATCAGTCTGAATTGAGAGCTTCACCCAGACCCTGACACAGTAGGTACCAAATCCTAGCAGTTTAATGGCCTGGGGAGACTGTGGGCTTTTGCATGAGACTAGGCCCATATGCAGGCTCCATATCAGCACTTGGAAACCCCTTGAGGACTGTGTCTCAGGATCAGGCAGGGGCAGGAAACAAGGGGGATTTGGAGAGGGATAGAGGAAGCATCCCTTCTAGCTGTGGACTTGGGATAAGCTGTATTTCTTCATTCAACTCCTTTCTCCCTCATATAAGTTTGAATGCAGAGAGAAGCAGGGGCCAAAGACTAGTGGACTACCTTACTGGTCTCTCTCTCTGTATCACTCAGTCTCTCTTGGTCCTCTCAGTCTCTGTCTGGGTGTCTCTGTCTCATTCTTTTTTCCCACTCCCTGATCTTGCCCTTTCCACTTCAGTCCCCAGTGAGGGACTCTGAACCTCTCCATATAGCTATCCCTGGAGTTCTGTGGCTCAGGACTAGCCAGGGTGACCCAGAAGTGGCACTCGGCATGACTGAGACATCCTCCAAGTAGAAATTCCTGGGTTGGAGGTGAGGGGACTGTTATGTCCAGTTCATGGAACCCCAAAAAGACTACTACCATGGAGGCAACTCACCCAATGCAAAAGCAAAGGTTTCCTTTATTCAAGCCATGGCCTGGATCCCACTCACTCAGGAGCAAGTGGAATGTGGCTTATAGCTAAGGGGTGGGGGAGGGTTTAAGGGGATAGACCATAAGGCTGAAAGCTTCCGTGGTTACATAGGATAAAACAATAACTGTATGTTTAAGCAGGATACAACTGAATAGGATATTGTAAGGGGCATTGAGTTAATTATCTCCTGGGCCAGGGATTTTTACAACTGCGAATCTGGTTTTATTTAGGACAAAGAAATGTTGACACAGCTGGTGGTGTGTTATCTGGTCTTAGGCCTCTGGTCACATCCTCAGTCCTTTATTTAGCATTAATCTTTTGTGCTGCCTTAGGGAGCTCAAAAGAGCTTAGAAACTTTTTCTAGTATGGGCTCTATAGTCTAAGTTTTTAGACTTTTATTAATTTTTCCTATTTCAGGGACAGTCTCCAGATATCTGATGCCCATTCTGTCTGAGAAGGATGGATTACCTACAGAGGTGGCCCTGAAGGGCTGGGAGCTGTTCCCCACATTATTGTGGGCCCTGCAAACATAAGTCATGTTGTGCTTCAAGGTCCCAATGAGCAGCTGGCTCTGAATGGTCACTCTGTGGAAGGGCTCCTGACTCAGGACTTCAAAAGGGGCATCTCTCCAAACCTGCAAGGCCTGGGCCTCATCACACCTGGAAAGAACAGATTTTTGATTGAGGCCTTCCACATCAGCATGCCCCTCTCACTCACGGGTGCCCCACCCAGATGCTCAGCCTAGGGAGGGAAGCCAAGCCCACTGACCTGTCGGTGTGGCCCCTACACTGCATCCATGTCACATTGGGCTGAGGGTACCCGGAGACATAACAGAACAGGGCATCAGAGCCATTCACAGACATCCATATAACACTGACCTCTGGGAGATCTGAGGAGGAGAGGAGGTTGGAGGAGGGTAGGATCAGCCTTGGGGATGAGGTCTCTGTCTCTTGACCATCTCCCCTGAGCCTGCTACCTTCACTCCTCCTAGTACACCCAACTCTGGGCAGCCCGTCCTTGTCACTCACATTGCAGGGTGATCCCAAAGGTTAGATTTTTCCAGCCTGCCTTGTTTTGGAACATTAAGGAGTACTGGCCAGCCTCCATGGGCTTTACGCGGTTTAGGGTGAGCTTGGATGTATACCTGCAAGACAGTCAAGAAGAGATAGTACTGTTATGAGCCGGCATCCTATGAAGGAGAAGGGCTCATCTTCTGTTAAAGTTTCAGGGCACAGAGGCCTTGTCTGATTCAGATTCTCAGGAGTGTGCCGTTGAGACAGGAGAAACTACCTACCCCAGGTCCTTGACAGTCCTCTCATTTTAAGAGTATTCTTTGTTTCCCCAAAGGGTTATTAGAGATGATGTCCGCAAGGTCCTGGGAGCTATATCACAAGTTCCTTCCTTCTTACCACTGTACTAAGCATTCACAAGCACCACAACCCCTACTAAAAAATCCCTCATGTGATACCTGGTCCCAGGGAATGGTGACAGGGACAAGAGACAGGGCTGATTCTGAGCTATGTAGCTACAGAAACCAGAGTCCAAATCCCAATGCTATAATGATTGACTGTGTGGCTTTAGACAGACATTCAACTGATACGGTCTTCTTTGGCTCAGGGTGATTCTGATGGTTTGTTTTTGTTTTTGTTTTTTGTTTTTTGTTTTTTTAATTCACAGGATTGGTTTGAGAGTTGAAGGGATGTGCATTTAGAATGCTAGCCAAGTATCTGACTCATTATAGGCATTTAATTTAATGGTGTTCTTTATTATAGAAAAGTCTAAAAACAAATGCTGAGGCAAAAAGTCACCTTTGGCTGATTCCAGGTAATTTTCTTAGTCTCTAATGGATAATTTGTCCATTATGAGTGTGTTTGTTGCTGTTGTTTGAGACAAGGTCCGATATAGACCAGGCTGGCCTCAAAATTGCTGTGTAGCCTCTAGAGCTGGCCTTGAACCCCTGGTCCCTCTACCTTTGTTGCCCAAGCACTGAGATAGTAGCCATCTGCCCCTATGCCCAGCTAATGAATGTAATATTTAGGTGACAAACACATTTTTTAAGATTTTATTTATTATTTATACAACATTTTGCTTCCATATCTATCTGCTCATCAGAAGAGGGCACCAGATCTCTTAACGGATGGTTGTGAGCCACCATGTGGTTGCTGGGAATTGAACTCAAGGATCTCTGGAAGAGCATTTGGTGCTCTTAACCTCTGAGCCATCACTCCAGCCCCGACAAACACATTTTTAAATGGGGCTAGAGAAATGGTTCACTGGTTTAGAACACTGTGTTCTTGCAGAGGACCCAGGTTTGGTTCCCAGCACTAACATGGCAACTCACAACAATCTATAACTCTCCAGTTCTAGAAGATTTGGCACCCTGTTACACACAAAACACACGCACGCACACACACACACACACACACACACACACACACACACACACAATATACACATCAAATAAAATGAATGTTTAAAATACATTTTCAAGATTAAATTTTGTATTTTATTTTATGTGTATAAATGTTTTTTGCCCACTTGTATGTATGTGTACCACATGTGTGTCTGCTGCCCATGGAGGCCAGAAGAGGGCAACAGATCTGTTGGAACTTGCATTACAGATAGTTAAGGCTTATAGATGCTAGAAATGGAACCTGGGTCCTCTTCAAGAACAGCAAGTGCTTTTTAACCACTGAGGCATCTGTCCAGCACTAATGATAGCAATGTACCAATTCTTGCTTGAACAAGGTCTACAGCCAATGATTCACTTATTGAAAACTTGCCTCAGGTTGGGGTTTGACTCTGTGGTAGAGCACTCAGTTAATAAGCTTCAGGCTCTGGGTCAGGAGAATAAGAACCTCATGGACATGCTCCATTCAGAGATAGGCAGAGTATCTCTACTGTGGTAGACACATGGCCAGCCCAAGCTTTGAGAGTAGAATGGTGCCAGCACAATGGGTATGGAGGGAACATGTGCCCCGAAATCATCTCAGAGCCTAGGGAGGTTTTCAGGATGGTTAATCCTTTAGCAAATGAATGTTTATATCCCCCTGCTCTGTCCCCATGTGAATGTGGCAGGTGACTTGTGTGGTAGTTATCTCAAATACATCTTGGGGTGGAAATCACAGTCATTTCCTACATTGGCATTGCCCATAAAAAGGAAAGGAGATGACCTTGAGAACATGCACTCCCAGAAACTGTAGAGCAGCTACTGGGAATCTGTAACGATAAATCTTTCCGCCAAGCAACCCGAGCCCTGTCACCACGTGGTTGCCCAAAATAACACACAGAGATTAATATTAGGTACAATGCTGCTGACCAATGACTAGTATTTCTGAACAGCAATATCAGTCTTAATTATCAACCACAACTATTAATCTATATATTTATAAGACTTATCTTATAGAGGACGCCAGCCTTGCGTCCTGTCTTCCGGGCGGTCACATGGCGACTCCATCTCTCCAACATTTCCCAGAATCCTCCTTGACTCCTAGTCCTGCCTAACTTGCTTCCCTATTGGCTAACAGTACTTTGTCAACCAATAAGACAAACATATACACAGAAGGACCTCCCCATCACTGTGTTTAAAATATATGTAGGCTTGTGATAGAAAAGAAACAGGATAAACTAATAGAAAGAAAGAAAGAAAGGAAGAAAGAAAGAAAGAAAGAAAGAAAGAGAAGCCAGTGGTGGTGGTGCATGCCAGTAGGATTTGCTGAAGGAAGCAGAGGTAGGAGGATTTCCTCAGAGAAACCCTGTCTCAGGAAAAAGAAAAAAGAAGGAAGTAAAAGAAATAGAATAATAAATAAGCCATGTAAAGATGGAAAATACACAGAAAGTCTGGATACTATATGATATAGTGTTGTCTTTAAATTGTTTGATTGCCCAGAAAAGCTGCTAAAAGACATTTGATTATAAGTGCTGCTAAATTAGTCCAACTTAATATTTTAAAAATGCTTTGACTTCAAAATTTAAGTCTAAGGACAGGCTACTTGGAAAAAGAATTTCTGCTTTTGTTTACACAGAAAATGAAAAGCTGTGGATTCCTTCCAGACTAATATGGTTTGATCAAGCAAGACCCCCTGAAGAAGTGGCCCAACTGATCCTACATCCCAAACAGCTGAGATGATGCAGTCATAGATGACTACAGCCAGAATTTCTGTGTTTTATTATTATCATCCCCATGGTATGGACATCGCCCCTAACCAGCATAAAGCAGTTTGGAATGAACAATGCCCAAATTCCCAAATATTGTTTGTAAATGTTTGTTTTCATTTAAATGGGATTGCTTATAAATGGTAATGACCACAGTAAATCTCTTTTTAAAGGAAAATAGGGAAATAGGATATAGAAATTAATACTTTGCATTGGTATGGATTTTCACTTATTGATACAACTTTGTGATATGAATATGTCGCCTTTTGTTTAGGTATTATGTTTATACTGATCTTTTAAATGTAATGCATAATTAAATACAGATTATATAGTCACCTATATTAGTCAGAACTTATAATTATGTTATCTAGGTTTTCTAGATATACAGAAATGTATTTGACAAGGATATTCTTCAAACCTTTCAAAGACCTTCATAATATATGGCATTTAAATGGTTTAGGGTTTTTCTTGGCAGTGAGACACAACTGCTCCTGGCACACCAATTATGTCTGAGAGGAAGATGGGCATCGAAGAAACTCGTTATGGAGTTTGGTTTCAACATGGCAAGATTAGCCATTTGGGCAAGAAACCGCTCTTGCCTGGACTGTTTGATAAACTGGACATGCAAGACCCACAGGAAAGTGACTGCTGAACTTGCAAAGCAGGATGGACAGTCCTGAAGGGTGCCTGCTTCATGGAGAAGTCTTCCAGACACACTGTGGCCTATAGGCTGAAGATGGATGCCTCTAAGTTCCAGAGGAACTTTGGGTGATTGTCCAGGTAGTGAGATTTCTCTGTCAATTCTAGAGTTTATATATTATCCCTCTGTAGTTTTTGATGGAGTTGAAGACAGATAGTTATGGTTATAGTTTTCTTTAGTTATTATAAAAGATAAGTTACATATAAGACCTTAGACTCACAAAGATTGGATAGATGATAGAATATTTTCTTTAAATCTTGCTAAATGTTAATGGACTATATATTGTAACTATAGTTCTTACTTGATAACTATTTTGTTATATGTTTTACTATGTTAATAGTAAAACCCTTCTTTTTATTTAGACAGAAAAGAGGAGATTATGGGGAGGTCCTTCTGTGTATATGTTTGTCTTATTGGTTGACAAATAAAGTACTGTTGGCCAATAGGGAAGCAAGTTAGGCAGGACTAGGAGTCAAGGAGGATTCTGGCAAATGTAGGAGAGACGGAGCCACCATGTGACCACCAGGAAGACAGGATGCAAGGCCAGCGTCCTCTATAAGTCTTATAAATATATAGATTAATAGTTGTGGTTGATAATTAAGACTGAGCTAGCAGATAAGAAATCCTAGTCATTGGGTAGCAGTGTTGTACCCAATATAAGACTGTGTGTTATTCTGGGGGCCCACAGGCAGGGCAACCACTGGGCTCAGATGAAACAATAGAGGAGTGTGCTGGGCTCCCCAGAGACATGGAGCAGGGGGATTGACACAGAGGACTAATATTTGCATAATCAGGGAAAGTGAGATAAAAAAGGAAGTGGGGGAATCCACTCAAAGTGGAGCAGCACAGATGGGACAGGACACAAGCATCCTAATTTCTGGCTGAATAATCTGCACACACCACACCACACCACCACACACACACACACACACACACACACACACACACACACAAGCACACACAGAGTCCATGAACTGATAGGAAGTACCTGTATTTGGTAGTCCTTTGGATGGTAAAGTCAGGATTGTTCTGGTCTTCAAAGAATGGCCCTAGGTAGGTCCAGTTATAACTCTGTAGGTCAGGGTAGGCATCTACATTGACAGTGAGGGAGAGGCTCTCACCCACAATCATCTCCTGCAAGAGGCTCTGCTCAGAGGTCAAGTTTAAGTAGGCACTCGCTGGAAATCAACACAGGAGATCTGGTGTTAGTGGGGAGATGGCCTCCTTTTTCTGTTCACTGGACCATCTACCCCTTAACCCAGGATCTGAGCACATCTATGCTCCAGGCTCACAGTCTCCAGTCCCAGCCAGGACTTACCTCTGTCACCTATCTTTCCGCCATCATCCATTCATCCATTCATCTGTTCAAACCTCCATTACCAATCAAGTCTAGAGTTAAAGCCTTGAACCACTTGAGCTTTGACCACTGGGATAGCCTCCTAATTGACTTCCTCCCCTTTCTCTCTCTGTAGGCTGACCTCTACGGAGCACCAGAAAGCCCCGCTAATCTGCCATACCCAAGTCTGACCATGATGCTGCTTTGCTCAAACCTGTTTCTCACCTCCTCCAAGAAAAAAGACCTAGGTCCTTACACGGGATCTCAGAGCTATTGGACCAACTACCTGCCCAACTTACCTCTATGACCTCATATGGTACCTCTTGTTCATGCTGCCCCAGCCCCACTGGCAAACTCATTCCTTGAATCTGATAAACAGACCTATCTTAATGGCACAACAGCTGCCCTACAAATTGGAGCTCTCTTGCTCCAAAGTGTCGGAGCTTGCCCTCTGCCAACTTCAAGCTAACTTAAGCACACTTCTGGCCAAAAGTTGAAAGAGCATGCATCTTGTGTATTTATTGAGTAACTATGGCATACCCAAGCAAGGAAGCAAATTGGCTAGAGCTCTAACAGAGGGATGGCATTGCGTGTGTCCACCTCTCTTTCCTTTACCTTGCAGAGTTCTGAGGGGTTCCTTGTGTGTGCTCTGAGGCCAGTGATTCATGCTTCCCTCCTCAGACTCTCAACACTTGGACCATTAACACGCCTCACTGATAGACCACACTCAGAGCCTCTTCCCACACGGTAGAACTGTTTGGTTGTGGGGTTCTCAGTCTGTGGAGTGCCACTGCTTCCCTCAATCGCCAGCCAATGGGAGGGCATCTTACATCTATCATTCTTCATCCCCATGGTTGGCGCCCTCACCACCTTTCTCCAGCTTGCCCTACATCCTCTCCTGTGGCCGCACTTAGCTTCCCTCCACCCACCACCAGGGTGAGTCTTCTATTGTGGTATTTGCTCGCACGCTCCAGCAGTATGGATCTCATAGGGTATCTTCTAGGCTTTTTAAAGACAGGCATCTACTATCAATATCCTCAATTTCTTTCAGGTAAAAGAATTGAGGCACAAACAGGTTGGTCAACATAATATTTGACAGAGCAAGGTTTGATGACTCCTGGAAGCAGGTGCTTCTGATTCCCAGTCCCCTCTGTGCAAGCTGAGCCATGTGGAGACCTCAGTTCACCCGCCCCCTTATAATCTTCATGACCTCTCAAAAGGGTGGGATGCAAATTCTCCACCCACTCTGTTAAGGCTCCCTTGCCACCGGGCTCCTGTCTCATCTCTCTTCCCCCACAGTCCTCACTCACACCTTTCCACATCTGATGTTCTCATCTACTTTTGGTGTCTCCGAGATGCTTGGGCTCTTTTCCCAAGCTTGCACATGGGGCTCAGAGCACACTGAGAACCAAAAACTCCACTCATACTCCTCCTGCCCCAGCTGGAAGGCCCCAGTTAGATGGACCATTGGCGTTTAGAGACACAATGCTTCCCTCACAATCACATCAGAGAAGCACGGTTTGTGTGTCCACATGACACTGATACCCCATGCTCTTGGGAATGAATGAGCCATCATGAATTGCAGTAGGGAGCTGCTGGGCTCCAGTCCCAACACAGTCCCAACATGTTACAGTGAACCACTCCCCATGCTCTGCAAGGGCTTGGAGGGAAGTCGAGGATCTAGGAAGTCTACTAAGATGGGGTCCCAGGACCAAGCCATCCTATCTAACAGCCACAGGCCTCCCCTGCCATCTGATGCTCACCTACCACCTGGAAGTTCATGGAGGTCGTGTGTGTGCCAGCATCATTGCTGCCCACACAGGAATAGTTGCCAGCATCTCGGAAGTCCACGGAATTGAGGCTGAGGGTCCGGACTTTTTTATAATGGTCATTTTGGAAGTCACTGTATAGGGGGATTTCAAGCTGTAGATAGAAGGAATAGAGATGACATACAAACTTGTTTAGGCTCTGAATTCAAATCCTCCACATTTAAAATGATGATCTGCACATGCTTGGCAAGGGACTAAATGCTGAGTCTCAATTGCTTCATCTATAAAATGGGATGAAAACTGGTCCCCTGATCCTGGGTTAAAATGAGAGTGGACAGATTTGGTTGCACCTCACACATGGTGCACATGGGGTGAGGAACCTAAGAGGCAGCCTTTCCATTCCTTTCTAGTGACCCTCAATTTCCCTCCTGCTGAAGTTTTTCTGACATAGCCAACCTGCCCCTTCTAAGGGAGACTAGGAATCTTTATTCTGCCAGAAGTGAGTGCTCTCCGAGCTGTAGCAAAGGTACAGGGTGATCCCTGAAAGGGATTAGATTGTCACCCCCATCCCCATCCCCAAGACCTAGCTGCTGGCAGAGGGTCTCAGGCCCTCCACTCTGTCCTCTGGGCCACAGCCATGTCTCCAGCCCAGAAAGCTAGTCTGAGGTGAGGATGCCTCTGTGCTGAGAAGGCGGGCAAACTTCACCATGTCATCTCTTTCCCCTGGGGACTGACCTTGGTGTCTCCACGTTTGAGGAAAACATTGAATTTGGGGTCCACATTAGTGGCAGAGCACACGATCTTGGCAGCCTCCCCTTGAATCCGCACCAGCTCGGTAGGCTCCAATAGCACATTTGGGGGCCCTGGGAGAACTGAGGCCAGAAATGCAACCTATAAACGCCTAGGCTTATTGGCACTGTGCCCAACACCATGGGGTCAATTACCCTGGTTAGTTTATCAAAGTTGGTCTCATGGCCAGAGTCCCACCCAGCACACCTCACCCCACTTGCCCTAGAGAGAAATGAGTAGTTGAACAAAGAGGATTGTTTCTGTCTTTCTCATACCCCCAGCTGCCAGCTTTGTTAGTATTCACTCATCTGTGCTGGCCTGCCCTCGAGGTCCTGATGGGATACTTTCTCAGCTGCAGGTAGTAAGAGCACCACCTGTGCATTCACTACGTTCCCTTTTAAAGGGTGGGCCTTGCCCACCTCCCCCCTTCTCTCTGCTTCCCTGCCTGTCTCTGTCTCCATGTCCTCCCTTCTACGTTTCTCTTTTCTGCTGCTCCTGCCAGTCTCCCCCTCCTCTTCCCCCTTTTCACAATCCATTTCTCCTAATAAAAAACCTCCATGTGAGCTCTGTTGCATAGCATCTCTTCTTAAATTACAAGCTCTCCTTCCCACCTCCATGCCTGGCCAGGCTTTACCCATTATACATACCTTTCTCCACTTTAAGCCGGATGCCAAGGGAAAGGAATTCCTCACCGTTCACCATAGCTTTGCACTGGTAGTCATTGCTGTCAATGAACTTAACATTATGGATAATGAAGCCTTGCTGTGGTGAGAAGGAGTAGGTTATTCTGCGTGGTAACATCTTGCCCCTGACTCGCACTAGTGAGACACTGGACTGCAGTGCGGGGTCGGTGATCAGGCAGGGCAGCACAGCTTCCTGGCCCTCAAACACTGTCACCTTCTCTGCTAGCAAATTCCAGGGCCGGACTGGATCTGGACAGAGGAGGGTTCAAGGTGACAACTGAACATTAGTGACAGGGAGGCTCAGAAGGCTGAATATGTGCCCAAAGTCACACTGTACAGGGGCCATTCAGAGAGCATTCCAGGTTGGCTTCTGTACCCAGGGCACTTGTTGCATGTGACCTCAGAAAAAGATTCAACCCCTGTGAACCTCTAGAAAATGGGGGTAATCATAGCATCTACCTCACAGGGTTACACTGTATAGGTGCTTGTTCATGGCCAATGCTCAAACTCACAATTTTGGATCTGGCTTACTATGCATGCTAATGCCAGAAGCTAGCCCTCCTGCCCAATACAGGGAATTTGGAGTCCTCACCTTTGACATACAAGTGGATGGTGGCACTGCTCCGCAGGGAGTCTTCATGCTCAGTGCAACGATAGGTCCCAGTGTCTTTGAAAGTGGCATTTCTTGTGGTCAGGATGCTCCCACGAGACTGAGAGTCCAGGGTCCAGTGGGGAGAGAGAGGGCTGTCCCACACCACGCTTCCATTGCCCACACATCGCAGTGTCACTGTTGTACCCGGCTCTACAACCAGCTCTGGGCCACTGGGCTCAATGATGGGGGCCCCCTGACCTGAAGGAGGTGGCAGACAGAGGTGAGGCCTGGCGTGTAGCCCTGCTGTCCCCCAGCTAAGTTGGACCATGCTCTGGCAGGGAGAGCTCTAGTACTTTTTGTGTCTGTATCACCTGCCCCTTCACTCCCAAATCTGTTGACATCTGCCAGTCTCAGAGGAGAGGCCCTCCTTAGCCTCATGTGTATGTTTCCCCACAGAGCCACAGGGGCCCATCTTTCTGCTTATTTCTCACCCCAGGAGAGGACCTCATTAATCCCATGTACAAAGCAGGCTGTGACTGCAGAGGGCCCCATCCAAGCAAGACAAGTTTCAAACAAGCAAGTGGAAAAACAGATGGCCAAGTCCTGACTTCCCTCACTTGGGAAAAAAGACAAGATGTGAGTTCTTAGCAGAGTAGAGAGAGAGGCTCCAAATGTCTCTCCTGCTGTGCCTGCTCCTACCACTGGACATCAGGTCCATGCCCTGTGGCATGGCCAGAAGTCATCCATCCTTCTCACTTTGTCTCCTCCTCCCCTGCAAATGCAGATAGTGATTACACCTTCCCAGCACTTAGACTGTCCAGATACCAGGAAGTCTTAGCAGCATCACCTGCTGCCAAGTAAAGACCCAGGACTCGCGTTTATGAACAAAACTGCTGAGCTACCCACTCTGCTCTCACTTCTCTGCACCTGCCGGGTTTCTCAGTAGCCAATCTCTTTTAAGGAAAATTTGCTTGAAGGAGAAAGGAGAACTTAAAACACTTGTCAGGTCTTAAGGAAGGAGGCTAGTTGCCTCTGTAGTGTCAGCAATTTTCCCAGGCCTGAAATAGGGGTGAAGGGGGGAAGTGAAAACTGATTCACGGCTGTGAGAGGCCGGCAGGCACCATCCGCCTGTGTGGGCGGAAACACATTGCTGGCACCCGGCTGGCCCTGGTTTCCGCCCAGCCTGTGGCCCTTCTAGACTGCCATTCTCACTTCTGCTTCCCTGCCCTCCTGGCCATTGCCCTTCTCCACACAGTAAGGGACTCTTGGAGAGGGGGACAGTATGCTGGGTCTCAGAACACTCCATGCAAAGATGCCTGCCTGTGTCACTGTCCTGTTTGCTGACTTCCACAAGTCAACCCTTCCTACCCCAGCTGATGATATAGACACAGTGACAAGACAGCCCCAAGGGCATCAGGCCCTCAGAGTACTCCAGTATTTCCCACCACCACTCCTCAGGAGGTATCACACACACACACACACACACACACACACACACACACACACAGAAACTCCAGCCAGAAATGGAAAGTCTCATCTCTCAAACGATTTCAGCCTGGTTTAATGTCTGCTCTGATTTCAAATCCTATCTGCTCCAGCTTCCAATCAGCCAGATGTAGAATAGAGTGAATACTGCCACAGCTGGTATAGGGTTGTGGCTTTCTTGTGCAGTGTGACTAGCAGGAAGAGGGACAAAATATTTCATCCTGGCCTGGGCTCACATTGACTAGGGCTAGGGACCTTGTCAGTCATTGCTAGATGAAGAAGTTGTTGACCCTTGGGGTTTCACACTCTCTTCTGTCTGGTGGGAACAATTCCAATGTCCACCTATGGCTGTAGATCATATAAGGTCTCCTGCCCTGGCCTCCTGCTCCTGTGCAAATGTTCCTCTTGAACTTTCCAGGTGGTAACTAAGGAGTATACCCCTTAAGGTCACAGGATAAGACCTTGGGTTCTATGACCCGGCTTGCGCCTTATCTTCCAG